CGGCCTCCTCGGCGTCCTGCAGCCTCTGGGCCAGCTTCTTCCTGCCCAGGGCGGTTGGGTGTATGTGTGTCACTCTATCTGGGAACAGCGGGGCCTTGGGACGACCCCTCCCTGAACTGCCAGATGAGGAGGGCCCGGCCCTCCCACACAGCTCCTTGGGACACTGAGTAGCCCTTCAGACCCTGGAACCCCAGCCTCCAGGGAGCCAGGGCTTCGGGTGCCTAGAACAGAGGCTCTTCCCTACGGGGAACGGCATCAGGGTGGCAGCCCTCACTTCTCCCCACCCAGGCTGATCGGCGGTAGCTCCTCTGACCAACAAGCTTTTTGCTCGTCTTATACGTGAGCATCAGGTATAACCCGGGCCAAAAGCTCGCCCGTCACAGGAAGTGAGTCAGGGCCAGCCAGGGTTCACTCAGAGCGCAGGATCCCAGCTCCCTCGGAAGCACCTGTGTTGCCCACCACATTTCTCCCCACCTCCTCTCTTCCACCTCAAATCTGCCTCCCGTGCCCACTCTGCCTGTCTCTACCCATGTCCTCTTGAGCCTTCCTCTCTTAGAAGCAGGGTTGGGGGCTGCCCAGGACTCACTTGGCCTCCTCCAGCTCCTCGGTCCTCTGGATGGCGTCCGTCTCATACTTGGTCCTCCACTGGGCCACCTCCGAGTTGGCCTTGGACAGGACGCGCTGCAGTTCGGCCTTGGCCTCCGTCTCCTCCTCGTATTGCTCCCGCAGCAGATCACAGTCGTGCCGGGCTGACTGCAGTGCGTGGGCCAGGGCATTCTTCGCCTGGGAGGTGCAGCACCGGGAGGTGGGTTCAGCATCTGGGAAGGTGGGAGGGAAGGCCCTGTCCCCATTCTCCCGATCCTTTTCATATCTATGAACTTCAACCAAGCCCCGGCCTCCTTCAGGGTGAGGGCTGGTGTGGAATCTCAACATCTTAAGGTACCTTCCCAGTTTGCCCATCCCTTCCAAATAAGAAAGGAGGCACTCAGTGATGTTCGGGTGTGGCTTAGCTGAAGAGTAGAAGAACCTGGCCTGGAGGTTTTTTCATTAGAGGCCTCTCTGCAGCTTCCAGGCTCCATTTCTGAGGTTGGTTGCCCCAGGGCTGCCATCAATCCTGTCTGCTGCCCTGTAGCCGGGCCTCACCTTGCCCTCCTCCTCCAGCTGCCTCTTGAGGTCCTCCAGCTGCTGGGTGTAGGAGAGCTTCCCTCGGGTCAGCTGCAAGATCAGCGCCTCCTTTTCCTCCAGTTGCCGGGACAGCTCACCTGCAGGTGGGAACAAGGGTTTGTGGGCCACGGAAGGGGGCAACTGATGCTCTTCCGTGAGGCAGGCGCAGGGCTGGTTAGGGGCACCCACCGTTCTCCGTCTGCAGCTTGGCTCGCTGGGTGGAGAAGTCATTGAGGGAGCGCTGGGCCTCTTCTAGCTTTGCCCGGTACTCGTTGGCCTGGTCCTCCAGTGTCCGGGACACCTTCTCCAGGTTTGCCTTCAGGTGGTAAGGGACAAGAGAAAGGTGAATGTGGGAGGGGCTGGGTTGACTGGAGGAAGGAAGGGAGGACCAAGGTTGGGGAGCGCACAGAGGCGGGGGGTGGGGGGTGAAATGGGGCGGGGCTGGAGGGGCACAATCTGGAGAGGATGCATGAATTAAAGAAGGGAGAGATGGTGAGGAGATGGAGACACAGGTGGAGGGCAAGGCAGGTGCAAGGGAGAGAGGGAGAGAGACCAGAGGGTGACGAAGGGAGTGAGAATAAGAGCGATGGCAGAGAGGAAGTGGAAGGAAGGCGCACTGCGAGGCTGTGAGGGAGGACAGGGTGAGGAGAGGAGAGCAGAGGCCCACCTTGGCCTTGATGATCTGCTCCATGTTGGAGGTGACATCGTCCAGCTCCAGCTTGAACTCGCTCTTCTCCTTCTCCAGCTTCTGCTTCACGCGCTGCAGGTTGTCGATCTGCTCGCCCAGCTCGGCCACGCTGTCGGCGTGCTTCTTGCGCAGGGCGGCCGCCGTGGCCTCGTGCTGCAGCGTGGCCTCCTCCAGGTCCCGCCTCATCTTCTGAAACTCAGCCTCGCGCTTCTTGTTCATCTCGATCTGCACGGACGTGGCCCCGCCAGCCTCCTCCAGCCGCTCACTGATCTCCTCCAGCTCCCGGGACAGGTCTGAGCGCAGCTTCTCCGCCTTGGCCCGGGCAGTGCGCTC